AATCAGTTTTATATTCATTAACAATAATCATAATAAACAAGATGATTTGTGACAGTTCATCCTGTACGACTGGGGAGTTTGAACTTGCCTGGAAGGTTAAAGAGTCACACATGATTTGAGTTCAACAAAACAGCCGTGCCTGTCAGCAGCCCATTGTTAGGCATTTGTAAAGACATAAAGGCTTAGGAAACACCTGTGTTTGTGTGCAGGAGGAATATGAAACAGAACTCAAAGCTTCAGGGCAGCAACAGGTCACTACATTCTGTTGACTGCGCTGACTGGAAAACCATACTGTGCCCCATCAGGACAAACTCGGTCATTTCAAAGTGTATTTACATAATCAAAAAGGTGTGTTTACTGCAATGTGAATAAATCAGATAAACACAACCCTTACTGGTTTTGTTTGGTTGTCAGTAATGCTGAAATAATAAACAACCCGATCAATTATGTAACAGAAAAATGTCCTATTCACATTTGGAATTTCTTATCACATATATCGGAGTTGATTCCTTTTCTATTTCTCTTTCTTACTTTAAAACGTAGGCCCTATGTGTGAGTATTGTAGAAGTGCTGTGAATTTTTATAACTTAATACATGTCAGCAAGTGAGCAATTTTGAAAGTGATATTAAAAACAGGGCGTATTTTCACCTGTCGCCAATTACCTGTAGACACTAACGAACAGAAGTGGCCAGACACGTGCACAGGTAGGGCTCAACCTGTGCAGAGCACATGCCCTTTTTGCCCTTACACTCCGAAGTGCCCTTTTTTTGGTGATGGTGTTTTTTTTTCCTTCAATAAATCAGTGATATTGGTCACCCTTTACATCTGTCTGTCTGCTTTACAAATATTTAGCTAATGAAAGGTATTAAAAAGAGCTTGTGACTAAATCTTGTTGGATCCGCTCAAACTGTCAGTAAACCTCATAACTCCACCCACTCTATCTTGACTGAATGAACTGAAGTTCCACAGCAGCTGAACTAGGTCTGCAAGGGTAAATAAAGATCTTGTTGTTTGAATAAGTACAGCGTTTTCTTTACGCAAGAAACACTATGTCTATAAAGGCTCATAATTTATGTATTTGAAACTGAGTGCTGCGCCCATATACAGTAGCTACAACAAACACCTGGGGATGAAAACGTAACGCCGCCGTTTTAATGATGGACAAAATGCACATTTGCACACATTCGCTGGTCAAAAACCCCGTAACTGCATTTGAGTTTGACACAAAGCGACTGAGTGATCCTCGTCACCTAGGTAAAATTAAATAGCCTTGTTATGTTTCATTTTATTATATGCCTATGCAAATATATCACAGAACTTTATTGTTCTGTTAACAAAGAGTTTTGTAGATAAATACGTTTGTTTAGCTAATCGAGTTAGTGGCGCCAAATTACAATTTGTGTTGCGCGAGACTAACATCAGATTGCGTTTTGGAAGTTTGCATTTCACAATACATTACATAGGCTACTAATACTAATAGATTCATTTTTTTAAAGACTTTTAAAACTTCTTTAAAAAGCTCAAATTCCTTTTCTATAGGCGGTCCTTGATCAAGACTGAAGTGGAAAGCACTCAAATTTTTTCTTTTTTTAATTACAAAGAGCATGTGAGTAGATATCGTAATGACTTGCGTTTCACTGAATAAAAACGCTAACGCAGACTTACCTTTCTTGCTCCTTGCTTGGCAAACTCTTTAGCCAGGTGACTGCCGATTCCTCTTCCACCTCCAGTGATGAGGACCACATCAGTGCCCAGATCTCTGCGCTCCTGGCGCGTAAAGAAGCGCACGATCGCCCTCAATAAGCAAAATAAGATCTGGAGAGGAAAAAGCAACGCGCATCCCAGCACCTTCATCTCCATCATGACTTTCAGATAGTCCGAACTTCTATCAAGTTTGTGGAATAAAACAAGCTCGTAAGAAGCGAATGTGCCTGTAACTTGTCAGATGTCAAAAGGCACGCTGAAGTTCTCTGAGTAACTGGAAATGCGTCCTGCTCTCCTGGTCTGTAAGAAGAAAGTCCCTTAAAGTGCGAGCAGGTCTAACAGAGGAGCGTGCCAAGTGTCTTACCTACCTACGAATGAAGAACTGTCACATGTGAGACGTCTCTCTCTCTCTCTCTCTCTCTGGAGAACGGTATAATATCAGCCAGTCTCCGTGCGCTTTATCTCAAGAGGCGGGACGGAACTCAAGTGTTGTACGAAGATTGAGAGAGATAATTAGTGAAACATTTATTCATAATTTATGCTACACTGTTATCCTCTCATTATACGCTCATCGTGTAAACTGCTGTGAGACTCATTAGTAATGTGCATCTGTTTTGTCATCCAACTTTCAAACATCCTTTGACGTTTTCACGCGACATTTAGGCTATATTTACAATATCTCTGAAATTTAATGCTGCTCTTCAACTTAATGTGAAAAACGGCATTGCGCAAGGTTATGTATCTCAATGTTATGAACAAACGTTCCTCCAGTAGGCCTTTTCTGGTCTTTAATGATGTTAAAGGGGTCATATGACGTTACTAATAACAACATTATTTTGTGTATTTGGTGTAATGAAATGTGTTTATGCGTTTTAAGGTTCAAAAAACACATTATTTTCCACCTATTTGTTGCATCCAGTGGGGACATAATTACTGATTTGATATGACTTATACTGTCTTTTTACGCATTGCGTTGCATCGCACCGCGTAAACATAAAACCATGTCTGCATTTGTGATCGGAGAAACAACAAACAAAAAGCGCTACTCTACACTGCTCAAAACTCGCATTTGAATCGTCAGTGGCAAATCCTTTAAATATGAAAACGTACTTACAGTCTGTGAGTCAGCATTATTTGTCAGCATCATAGACTGTGGTCAGCATGCGCGCCGAAGGGGAAACAGGAGAACTGAATTCACCGGAACACCGGCATTGTAGGTTACGTAATACGATGTTATGCGTTGCACACATCTGAATATTTGGTTTGAAGTGTTCTGGAACAGTGTTGTAAATACAACTTAACCACTGATTTCTAGTTGTGTCCTCTTTTGGAAGGCCAAACAAAGTAGTTTCGCTTTCACAACGAAACACACAGCGTCTGCACGATATGGCGGCAGCAACAACAATACTACAGCACAGTGTAGTACAGTGAACAAATATTCCCACATCATGACGTAGACATGTGGGGGCATGTTTGAATTAGGTGTTTTAGGAGAGCATGGATCTCTTTGGGTTTGAGACTTTAGTCTTTGCAACTTCAGGGATCTTATCTATTCAGGAACAGCTTGTAACACTCCAAAGAGAAAGGAAAACTTGAAATCGCATCATATGACCCCTTTAAAATAACACAAAATATACATCGTTTTTTTCCCATAGAATGTTTGTTCATGGATGTTCATCTAATGTAGCATTCCCATAATGTTTGCAAAATTATAAAATGGAATGTTCCCTTAATGTTCAAATAACCAGGGGAAAATATTTTTTTAGTTTTTTTTTTTTTTTTTAAACTGGACGTTTTGAACGTTCGGAATTAGTTTTTATAACAATGGGAACATTACCAAAACGTTCTTGGAACATATTTTTGTTAGCTGGGTCATTAGCCTACCCTAATCTAGCAAAGCATCTTATGTTAATAATTTTACAGCGGCTTCGAACATGGCTTACAAGAATTTAATGTTGCAGCTACTTGTGTTTGTGTCCCCAAATTTGATTGGCTAAGCGGTGCTTAAAATAAAAGTAAAATAATTTTTCATCGCTCATTACCACTCACAACCGACTTGTTTGCCGCCATATTTCGCGTCGACATACACGCGATTTCCAAACGTCACCACTCAGGTCATTCATGTGCTCAGCACTGTATTTCTTTGCGGAAGATTTTTATAATTATAATTATTATAATAATTAATTGGACGTTGTAAACTGTCACGCCATCATTTACATTTTGTACGAATTTTGTACAAACAGAAGAAAGAAATTAAACTTAATTTCAAAAGTTGCCTTTAATTATTCTGTATCACGTGTAGCAACACACCTTGTCCGCTGCAGAGATTATAGGGCCTTTCGCACCGCTTTTACTGAACTAAATGTACAGTACTAAAGTACTGGGACGATTTTGCGCGAACTATTTCCCAGTACCATTTAAAGGGTTGCATTCGCACCGGCGTTTTAAAACATGGCGGGTGAGGGCGTTTTCATACGCGTTTGGCCAATCAATGTCTACCTACGTCACGATTAGTACCAGTTGTGCTGGTTAGACCCTGCTCCGGAGTAGGAGCTAATTTGGTTCTCGAAAAAGGCAGTCCAGTACTAAAATCGCTCCCAGTTCCGGCGGTGCGAAAACGCCAAAAAGTGGGTAGTTCCACAATTAGTTATGGTACTATGAAAAGGTTCCTGCGGTGCGAAAGGCCCTAATGACGTTATGCGCTATAATGCATTACATAGCTGCTTGAGGAACTTCTCAGCGCACACCAGCTAAAAGGGTCTATGGACATTTTATGCATTAAAAAAAAGGGATTCGGTCTTAAGAACTATACCGTCATCTAGAGGTCATATGCAGTAGGTGAATCACATTCTCAACATTCAATACCTTCTGCCATGAAGTCAAGTAAGTGATTTTGCACTCAATAGCTCGGATATAAAGAACAACATTAATGAAATGACATTACAATAAGCTGTTTAGAATTATGAAAGCTGTAATGTATGTCCAGGATTAGCTATGTGGGCCGTCCCATTCCACTTCACTCTAATCCTTTTCTGCAACACAGCTGTGCACAAATACAATATAGAAAATGAAGTCAAAGCATGAATATGTCACTGTATTGTGACAAAACAGGTGCGGAACAAACTGAGCTGAACCGTTGTCACATGGTTGGGGTGGTCAGGGAGGGTTGAGATTATCGTTCTCATTCTGAGCACATATTTCTCTGCAGCAATCTCAGTCCTGGATTATAACGTAGCTGCTGGACAGCGAGAGAGATGGCAGAGGAGCTGACAGAGAATCAGAGAGGGTACTAATGGAAAGCGCATCCCATAGTGCTCATGTTAACTCCAGAGTCAATGACAACAGCAGCAGCATCAGTGAGGGCCCAAGCATGTCTCCAGCAGAATCGCCAACTGAAAATTATTTAACAGTCATGGTGAGAGTTTATCTACAATACTGTTGAATATGTCATGTATAGGATGTTTTTGTGCCTTACAGTTCAGATGTATAGTCTTCTTGATCCTGGGATTTTCTGTTAAAAAATGTAAACTTTAGTTAAACGTAAAAGTTATCAATAAAGACATAAAACAGAGAAATAAGAAAGCATAGAAATATGTAACCTTAAAGGTGCACTCGGTAGTTTGGTTATGTTGAACTTGCTGATATTCTGGTCATCATGGACCTTACAGTCACATAGTAGTGCAGATGCACCATCATGAAAAAATTAGTTAGCAGTTACTAATGCTCTACTTGATTTTGATATTGCTCTATTTGCATTCAGCCATTGTGCTGAAGGGATTTTTGCAGGCCAAAACAAACAAAAAAAAAAGTTAGAATTTTTAGCACTTCAGGGTTTTATTGTAATAGCGGCTGAAAAGTGAAAATAGCATATTTTCTTAGGAATTGATGCTATTTACACTAAGTGCAAATACCAATGAATTCTATTTACACTAAGTGAAAGCAGCATTTTTTATCGATATGCTATTTACAATAAGTGCAAATAGCTATAGATCTATTTACACTGTTAAAATAGTAGGATTTTCTGCTATACTAATTTTTGCAAATAGTGTCAATTATCTGCTGCACCTCAGTATTGTAGTACATTATAAAAAGTACGCAATAATGACGTATTGAGTGTAAATTATAATTTTAGTTAAAATTATTAAATGGATGCCCACCTTATTGGGACACCTACCCTAACCCTACCCGATACTTTATTTTCAACTTTTTGATTATTTCCTTCATTTTTATTTAAAATAAATGCCATTCCGATGTGATATGAGATTTGAAAAGGGAAAAAAAGGATTCGAACCCGGTTCGATCGCATCAAAAAGCACAGGATTTACAACCTACGCTATTGGCCTTGATATTTGTCAAGCGTCTTTTGTAGTTTTGATTGCCCCAATCACACGTTGGTGGGCGGAATTAGTGTAAATAGCCTCTGCCAACAAGGCAGGTATTTGCACTTAGTGTAAATAGACACTCCGAAAAAGAAAACATGTTAATGAGCAACAACATTACTGAGTGCAACTTTAAGTCCATAAATGGTTATGCATGCTGGTATCAAAAACATACCATACACTATGTGTGCACCGTTTTTTTTTTTGTTTTTTTTGCCTACTGATCAAACACTGTGATGTCTTTTGAAAATAAACAGCTTACTGCGATTATATCTCACTAAACAGTATGAGGCATTTAAAGGGGTCATATGATGCAATTTAAATTTTTCCTTTCTCTTTGAAGTGTTACAAGCTCTTGGTGCATAAAGAAGATCTGTAAAGTTGCAAAGACTAAAGTCTCAAATCCAAAGAGATATTCTTTATAAAAGTTAAGACTTGTCCACGCCTTCCTAAAACGCCTCGTTTAAACACGCCCCCTCATGTCTACGTCACGATGTGGGAAGATTTGCATAACGCCGCCCAAATGTTCACGCAAAGAAAAAAGGCATAACTTT